CAACAACAATGGAGTTTCTGAAGCAACCAAAAAACCAAAAACCACAGGGCGGCCTTTTTTTAAGCACATGGATTCCATCCGATGCATTTATTTTTACGATGTGGAGGGCAAATATCTGCGTCCCGCAATAACGTTGCAAGGATCCAATCTGGGTCGATCAACCTAATCTGGGTCGATCAACCGGGGACCAGAGGTTTTAGTCTTCTGAGCTTTCGCATTCGTGATAGAGCCTCCATGCTCAGGGATAGTCTCTCTGCATTTCTTTTGGCTGTTTTTTTTGGGCTGGCCTTAGCTAACCTGGTTTCCTTCTGCGTGCGCCACAACATATTTACATGAGTTGTTTGAGATTTCCCGAGCGGGGTGTGTGTGTGTGTCTGTGTGTTTTCTTCTGCGTGTGACAAAAACGTTTAAATGAGTTGAGATTTTAAGAAGGGATTGGACTTGTCTGAGATGGTAGACGTTCTCCTGCTTAAGCAGAGGGCTGGACTAGAAGACCTCCAAGGTCCCTTCCAGTCCAGCTCTATTCTATTTCTATATGTGTTTCCCACCCCCAGATCAACTGTTATGGGTTGGAGGGCTACAAAAGTGGCCTTGAGCCATTTAGAGATTGCTGGGGTATGTGTGTGTGTTTGTGTGTGTGAGAAAGAGAGATTTATTGATTTATAAGTGGGATGTGTGTATTTACACAAGCATGAAAGCATGCTTAGGCCTCCTCTGGGGGGGACCGGTGTGCTCTTAAAAGGAGGCGTTATGCCCCCTGTAGAGATGGGAGGGGTGATTAAGCTGTGAAAGCAATGTTTGCGGTAACTATAGAGCTTGGGTACACAAAAGGTGATGTGTGTGTGTGTGTGGAGGGTGTAGGAAATGCCGCTGCTGTGAGTTAGTGAGTGCCGATTGGAAGACAGGGCTCACACGTTAGGTGCTGATTGGCTGCAGTTGCTCTGTAAAACCCAATCCTATAAAGCATTGTTGTCCGTCCTGGGCAACCTTTAAGCCTGGTGAACTTCAATTCCCAGAATTACTCCAGCCCAGGGAATTCTGGGAGTTGAAGTCCACTAGTTGCCTGGGTTTGGACATGCCTGCTATAAAGAGTCAAGAGACGAATAAGGCTTGTTGTCGCATTTCGAATCCCAGTTGTTCAGATTGCGCCTGCTTTTTCTTTTGAAGGCACCTGGGGCATATGTGCGCTATCTTGTGCGTATTTTCTTATGAGTAGACCACCCTGGCTTCAATGTTAGGTAAGCTCCCCGTTGGGAGAGGCAAGTACGTTCAGCGAAGAGTTGTGTTGGAGAACACACAAACCAGCATACACAGACACTGCAGTTTAAATAGGCTTTTACTTTCGTGGAAATAGAGGTATCAGAGTTCCATCAAACAGTCCAAGTCATACACGGATAAGACAGTCAGTCATCAACGTCTTTCAGTTAAGGGATAATCCAAATAACATAGTCCAGTATCATATAAACAGTCTGGTACTCAAAGTTTGCTAGCAATTGCAAAACTTAAAATAGTTCACGGCACTTTCTAATAGCCAGCTTCCAAAACACTCAGATCAGATCAGCCCAGCATCTAACAAACAGAGAGAGAGAGAGCT